AAGAGAGAAACTTGGACACCAAGATAGACACTCACAGAGGAAAGAAAATGTGAAGAGATACAGAGAAACAAGGGCCATCTATATCTAAAGAGTGAGGCCCAGAACGTATCTGTCCCCCAGAGCTATCAGAGGAAACCAACTCTTCTCAAAAACCTTGATATCACACTTCTAAACTGTAAGACAAAAAAATTTCTGTCTCAGACACCAAGTTCATGGTACTTTGGTATAACAATTAGCAAACTGACATCCATCTCAATAAAAGTTTCAATAATTGTCAGTACTTACCTCTCTGTTCATCAAAGTCAAAACTTTACAGTCAACATCAGACACTTTATTATGTGCGCTGAGTAATGGTAAATTATATATATTATCTAGTGTTTTCCCCTTTTTTTAAAGAAACATTTTTTCTGATTGCTGTTCAGGAAAATAGTATTGCTTAAATACCAACAGCCTAGTGGAGGAAAATGATTGATTGTAATTAAGATCATCTAATTTTTAATTAAAGATAATTAAGGAAAATTCATATATATCAATTCACAAATCCTTTCTACTGCTCAGAGTTTGCATTGGAGAGAATCAGGGCATTTTACCACATTAATTTCCTTCTGAATAACAAAAAAGTAATTTAACACAGCCATCTACTAACATCGATAGCTAGGCTCACTAAACTTGAGTCTGCTTAGATTGAGTCAACCTTGCCAAGAGAGCCATCTTTAGTTTGCCATGATGCCTGTGAGAGCATACTGGCAAATATGTAGTTCATGTTTTTGAGACTGATTTTAAGAATATCGTACCTTCAAAAGATGGGTGAGAGTTGCCTTGAGTTGTATCAACATGCCTTTCATTGCAAGACATGCTTCTATAATCAATAGACATTATAATGAATGCAGTTATCCCAACCTCAAGTATCAAGCACAGTTAGGAATTGTGAATCTAACTGAGCTGAACCAATATACTCAACATCTAACAGAGTAATAATGCTGTAAAAATTAACTTTATTTATAAAAGATGAATTCCATTTTTCCTTCAAATTCCTATACTGCTCATCGTAACTTTATATTTTTACAAGAAGAGAGAAAAAATATGTAGGAAATAGTAGTAGATATTGTATGCCTAATACAGCATTTCACTCATACATCTATTTCAATCTTCATATTTATCACTATACAGGTAGAAATTGTCACTACCATATCTAAGCTTAGTTAACCTTGATAAGTTCAAACATATACTGAATTGTGGAACTGAGATTTCAATGGTCAGTTAGAATTCAAAACTCCTATATTCAAACATGAGTAAGAGATTCAGAATTTGGATACCCTGATAGCATCTCTGGTTTCTAAAATGCTGATTTATTTAAGATATTCCAGAGTCCTTTAAAGCATCTAAACTCACATGAATGGTATTCTTGCTGAAATTGACTTATCTTATTCTCCTTGTGAAGTCTGAAGAGATCAAATCCATCCACAAATACAAACTAAAAGAAGTCAATCAATTTGTAATCTCATTACAAGAGATTGTAATCTCATTAAAAGAATACATGAGAAATAAAATTACTATATGATCCAGCAATTTCACTTCTACGTATATACTCCAAAAAAATTTTTAAAAAACTAACAGTAGGTTCTCAAGGAGATAGCATATATTTGTGAGCATAGTAGAATTATGCATAACTAAAATATGGAAGGAACCCAAGTATGCACTGAGAGAGAAATTGATTGTTGCATAGATTGTCTCAGAGATTTTGTCCAGAGTCACCTCTGCTTTTAGGGATTTAGGAAAGATTTTTAAAATCATATGTAAATGTGTGAAATTTAAAAGACTTTCATGTGTTCCTTTTTATAATTTACCCACATTTTTATTGTGGTAGAATACACATAACATAAAATTTACTATCTTACCCCTTTTGAGCTGTACAATTCATTGCTCAGATATATTCATAATACTTGTATAGTCATCACGACAACCTATCTTTGTCTCCCTCTAGCTTGTATGATCTTTGAGAACAAGGATTTTGTTTTATGCCTTTAGTCTATCACTATGTCTAGTAAATAGTAGACATTTACTTTACCTGTAGAATAAAACAAAGAAAAGAAATTAGGAAAGGAGGAGGTGATGTGAGGAGAAAAGAAAAAAGTACATTTAGGCATGCTATGTTCTGATTAAATGTGGATTTTCTTCCTTTATTTCTTTAATCCTGAAATCACAGGAAACCTTGCAATTATGCCTAGGAATCCTAGGGCTTGGAAATTTATCCTTGAGATTTCATATATTAATTCCTATACAGACCACTGAAGCAACTGCTAATATCTGTTGAGTTTAATCATTAATATTCTAGCTAGTACACATTCTTGGCTCGTTTCTTAATTTCTAATGTTGATACTAACAGAATAATACAGTATAATCTACCATACTAAAGTTCATGAGGGAAAACATGATGCCCATGTTATTTGTCTTTTCCCACTGACACAAATTGAAATAAAAGAAAAATTGTTCCAAACGAAAGGTACTTATAAGTTTAAAGGTACTCGTGAATATTATCAAGAGGTACCAAAATTTGAAAAGCCTAAATAAGACATTTTGATGCAATAATTATTAGCTCATTTTGCAACATGAGCCATTCCTATGTGAATACATCACACCATGAAGAAATGGAACTTTGAAGGGCCTATCCAAAGCAGAATTTAGCTTCTCTATTTTGACTCTATTTTTGCTTGACTTCATGCATTTATAGTTGGAACTTAGTAAGTAATCAAAACCATAATTATAAACATGTTCTGTACAGTAAATAGAGTCCACTATTCTGCTTATTAAAACAGCCTCAATTTTTTTCATATGTTCTGATTTTACCTGACCCAAAGGTCAACACACATTTTCTTTTCGTCTTTTTAGTGAGATGGAGATAGGGAGAGAGAGAGCATAGTGAGTGCTCAGGAAGGTTAAGGCATTAATCATACAGCACAGATTTGTTTATCCCTATGCTACATTGGAGTTTCCAAGATGACAAATAACTTAACCATTAATGTCTCAACCTTGTGTGTGTAATATGGATAATAAAAGAACTGTTATCATAGTTAAATGAGGATAAAGCAAATATTGGTATTTTAAACTCTCTAATAATTTGATCTCTAATAATGAAGTTCAAATTATTTATTAAAATCATATTTTACAAAGAGAATTTGTCATTATTTTCATTTCTTTCTAACCAGCAGCATAAGTCTATCAAGGTTCATCCAAACTATATAACAAGTATTATATATGGAGGACACTATCCCTCAATTTCTAAAACAACTCCAGAAATGCTTTATTCATACATGCATTCATTCAACATTTATTGGTCAAATACTATGTATAAGGCACTGTTTTAAGGGGCTACGGCCAACCTTCTATTTACTTTTGTAGTTATGTTTTGTATTCCAAAAGAGGTTAGAAAAATTCATATTTTTTTTTACAGTTTCCAAATGGTCCAATAAAAGAAAAAGATAAACCAGCTCCAAGACTAAAGATTTACATTACTAAACACTAATGGAAACTCCTTAACATTTTAATATATGTTTGACATAATAAAACATTGTTTATATATTAAAGAGAATGCAAGCCATCTGAACAAACTTTTAATATCAAGAATTTGGGACCAGTGAATAAATAAATTACATTTATATCAGATTTGTTACATTAAGATAACTTTACTTCACTTGTGAAATACACAGTTTACAACTGTCTATATCAAAATACAGATATTTGTCAGAGATTATATATGAAGCCATTAATGAGAAGAAACATAATATCACTATCAGTAAGACTTAGGGAAAAAAAAAACATCAGGTATCTAGCATTTGATTTAAGGATAAGAGTATAGCCTTAAAACCTACATCTGGATTGTGGTCTGTCTTCTAGGATTACTATTTAATTTTCATTTTTTTTATCCAGCCCAACCGCAACACAGACCCACGCACAAATCAAGAAATCATCTTACAGTATACTCTTAAATTTTCTGAATATGCCGCATGTGTCCACTAATAGCCAAATGCTTTCAAATCTGTTCAGCTAAATGGATCAATAACTACATCCAGCCTCACATAGTGGGGCTGCCAACATGGTGAAAATGAGCCAAATGCAAAATGTCTCTACTAGGACAAAAATTATTATCAACACAGTTATCTGGAGAGATCTACTCTCCCAGGTATCCTTTGGAGAAGTTAGTATGCACATTATCTAGGGCAGTTAGCAGCACTTTAAAATATTTGAAACAAAAAACAAAAGAATTTGGAAAAAATAATTGTGAGCTAAAACCAGACAGTTTTAACATACACCAATGTAACAGCTCAAGGTCTATATTAAGTAAGCATCTTTCAAATTCAGAGTACACAAAATATAAATACACAACAGCACAAGCAAACTGCTAACAAGCTTCTCTGTGTTCTCGTATGACACAGCTGCAAACAACAATTGAGCAGGTGCAACCAAGCTTTTGAGAATGCTTGCCTGTTGCCCAGGAGCCACAACACCACACGGCTGAGATTTTAAACAGGTGCAAACTTTTTCCCATTTGTCTAGTGTTTGAGACAATGCAGCAACGTATCTTCAACCACTCCTTACCTAAAGCAACACCCACAATAAACAAACTCAAAAACCGGAAAAAAGTTTGAAAATAAAACAGTAACATCAAAAACATAGTGGTTCTGCAATAGTCCAACCCCACATCATCAGTCATTTTAACAGTACATTTCCATAAAATACTGTCTAATCTTCACCAGATGAATCCTTTGTAATTAAAATTATTCTGCCTCATCAAATCTTAGAAATGTTTATCTGAGTCTTACAATAAAATGGAATTCAATGTATGTATAAAACATACTGTGCTTTGAAGTTGTAAATAATTATAAGTACAGGACTCAAAAACATTTTCCTTTTATGAAATCTATAAGCAATTTTAATACACAAAAATGTAATGACTCCTCAGTACACAGGTTTACATAGCTATAGGTAAATCATGTACATACCTGTTTAGCTATGAGGCACAGACTGCAATTTATCTGGTACTCTGAAATGCAAAACAAATACGTTATAAATACATATTAATTTACTGAATAGGAACTAGTATTTATGTTGAGACAATTTCTAGAGACAGAAAGACTTCAGTGCATAAAAAAGTGAATTATTTTATATCTTTATGTTCCCGATAGTATATTCAGATCACTGTAAATTCATATGTGGGAACAGACACATACAGATCCTTAGCAGTGTTATCAAAAATAACTACTAGCAAGGGACTGAATTTCACCGTGGCCTCTAAAATGCAAATACTTTCACTAGAGAATGAGGCACACACTTAAAAACATTTTTTATAGTCTTCCAAGACTATTGCTTTCCTAATACAAATAGGACTGCAGCTCTCTAAAATGAAACTACTCTGATTCATCTTCACTCAGTTTGGCTAGAAAATTGGTGAGAAAGAAAGGTGCCTTTATGGAAAATTCCACAGAAAAATGCTTACATAAATAAAAGTGAACTTTAAATGCTCATAAACTTTGTTACAACAGCAAACATAAATGAGACTGGTCACTACAAGAAAGAATGCTAACATCACATCAAACATATAATACACAATGCCTTAACCCAACATACTTTGACAAAATTGCCAATGATATTGGTATTGATGCAAAAGATTATGTAATTCTAGCTTAAACAAAAGTATTGACTTGAAATCTGACTGTAAAAACCATTGTGTTGTAATATGCAGCCTCCAAACTAAATTCCTGAAAAAAAGAATTTTATAATTCATTTATACCAAAATATTTAATTTTGAGACGGGGAGAGAGGGAGAGAGGGAGAGTTGTTATTAGCAATACATTAAAGTCAACAGGTCTACTTGATATTTGCTAAAATGTACATATAAATAATAATCTTTTGATGCTGGTTCAACAAAATAGTATTTATAATTCTAATGGGGGAATGAAGTGTTAAAAAGTATCTGGAAAGTTACCGAGTAATACGTATCAAGAATTCAAGGTTCAAAATTTTACTCAGTAATTTTAGTTCTACAACAACTACCTGACATACATGAATAACCTAAATGTCTGATGATACAAAATACTTTTAAAAAGCACATCACGGGCTGGGGATTTAGCTCAGCGGTTCCGGCACCTGCCTTGGAAGCGCAAGGTCCCGAGTTTGATACCCGGTACCAAAAAAAAAAGCATATCACATCTATGTAAAAGAATATTTACGATTCACTAGCTACCATTAAAGAGTATTTAAATTTTTAGAAAAATGCTAATTTATAGTACTAAAATAATACAACATATAAACATGAAGAATACCAATTGTATGGACAATATGAAATCATGGATAAGAAACAGAAAGAATACACGAAAATACTATGACTGATTATATTTTAATGATACGATCAAAGAATACAGTATTTAAAGTTTTCTTTTTACTTTTTTTTTGCTTAAATTCTTTTATTGGTACACTTTAGGTATACAATACGTTTACATTTATCATTGGGTGCTTGTATCTGTACATGATGTATCTTGGTTCTTATTTTTTCCCATTACCTGCGCTCCCTTCACCCCCTCCACCCTTCCCTATTTACATAGACTTTGTTTCCATTTTTTACTTTTCTCATAATTTTCCATTTCCCTTCTTTCCTTTCTCCTTCCCCTCCCACTTCCCCTACCCCTTTGGACCTTTTCTTCCTATTTCAAATTATCAATTATTTGTTTTAATCCTTATTTACACTTTCAGTTTC